GTGAGATGTGCTGGCTGCTTGTGCATGTGGATGACCTGCTGGCGGCCAGCTGCAGTACGGACCTGCTGGGGGAGCTGCGTGAGCTGCTATAGGGTGCATTTCAGCTGAGAGAGATTGGCCTATCGAGAAATACTTGGGGTTACAGCTAATACGCGATAGGCCCTCACGGAAGCAGTGGCTGCACCAGTCGGCCTACGTGGAGAAAGTGTAGCGGCGCTTTTTGGCAGGGGAGCAGCCTCAGCGTATGCCACGAAACCCTCTCTCCTCCGACCCATTCAGTGAGCTGACGTTTGAGGATGAGGAGCGGCAGTCGAGGCAGGAGTACAGGCAGAAAGTGGGATTTTTGCGGTTTGCTGTCTGTACCACACGCCGTGACATCGCCTTTGCATGCAGTAAGCTGGGGGCAGGACAGACAGTGCGCAGTGATCAGCACTGGAAGGAGTTGGAGCGGTGCTTGACCTAATTGGTGGGAACCAAAGATTCGGCCTTGGAATAAAGTGGGGATCCACCATCTTTGGAGCTGATAGGGTACGCGGACGCCGATGATGCAGGAAACAAGCAGAACCGGAGCAGCACAGGAGGTTACGTCTTTGTGTTCGGTGGTGCTGCTGTTGCTTCGGCGAGTCAGAGGATTCATTTTGTCGCTCTCTCCTCGACTGAGTCAGAGTATATTGCGGCAATTGAAGCAGGGAAGGAGGCTCGCAGGCTGCGCTTCATTCTGACATCGTTTCAGCTGCTCAAGTGTGAGGAGCCTACGACAATCTTTGTCGATAATTTGTCTACAATTGTTGTGGCAGGTGGCATGGGGCTTAAGGGAAGCTCAAGCACATGGATCAGCGTCACATGTGGCTGCAGCACATGGTCAAGCGCACGAAGCTAGATCTGCAGTACATCCCTACCAGCGAACAATCTGCTGACTATCTCACTAAAGCGTTACATTTCCCAGCCTTTTCCCATTGCTTTAATACAGTGGGACAAGTGAGGATGCATGCGATGGCTTTCTCTTCAAGCCCTTTCCGTATTCCGTGTTGTGGTGCTGGTCCAAGGAAGCGGATGAAGAGAATGAGGCATGGAAGGAAGGAGGAAGGCTGGGGCGAGTACGACGAACGCGCATTGGCAGCATTCCGTGACTATGAGCGTATCTGTGTATATGCTTCTGGCTCTACGTAGGTTTCTACTTGTGATGGTGCCATGGCCTATCCATGGCTGGTGCAGTGTGTGTTTCAGATAGAGAAACTATGCAAGTGTAGTGGTAATGCATAGGACCCTTGCTTCTGTGCTTTGTGTTCCTTTTTGGCTTGTATGCTTGTGTGTGTGTGCCCTGTGATTGTAAAGGGCCTTGCTGTAGTAGTGCAGGGGAGTGTTCAAGGCCTTACTACAGCTGGAGGCGGCCAGGCGTTGACCGGCTTGTGTCGGCGCCAACCGTTAGGTGACGGCACGCCAAATGCCTAGCAGCTGCAGGTTGCCGTAACCAAGAGACTCGGGCTAGTCCTAGCAACCTAAGACTTGTCTAGGTTATGTTTCACGAGTTCGGAGATGTGTACGACGACATGCGACTCTGACGAGTCTTGGGTGGTCACAACCAGCGCAAGGGACTTCCGTGCAGAGCAAGGCGGATTTGCCTTGCTGGTTGGGTTTGCGTACACGGCAATCCCAACCTTGCTGAGTTGGGATTGGGGACTTGGGCGAGGCGCATTCGCTCAACCCTTCGGCAATTTCGGGGTGGTTGGTTACACCCGCAGCGCCACACAACTCTGGTTGGATATCACTTGCATATATATTTGCTTGCTTGGTTGTACTTTATATATACTTTTCTAATGAACTTCTACTATACTCGAATTTTGACCAAGTACTTGAAGTCAACTCTGCCCAAATACCACTAGCGCCTAGCACGCTGTTTCTATACCGCTACTCTGCCATAATATCTCCACACTCTACAAGGGCTCTCGCCTTAGTATTCCTTAACGAACACCGCCATTGCGACCACTGAAGGCCCCTGAGCCCATAACTAAGGTCGCCTTGGAAATGACGTCATAGGAGAGCCGCCATCCCCCCTTGGAACCGACGAATCGAACCTAGCATGATTCTACAAAATGAGCTGGAAAAAGATGCAGCACGGTACAGGTCTCAAAGAAAGGCTTTGGAAGAGTTGCCAGCGTTCCAAAGTGGTTGAATTCTTCGGTGCTTGTTTCTGGTGCTGCTGATACTATAGTTTGTGTGCGATAAAGCGGAATCCAGCGGTTCCTACACATTACTTTGGGATGAGAAAATTGACGTCTTTGCATCCAATCAGCAACAAGTGCTGAGACGTTGATTGAGGTATTCTCACTTCAAATCTCCAGTGCACTAACAGATTTTGACGAAATATTTTCACTTCAAACTATTCGTGGGAACCATGCCGTAACATTTTCATGATGCACTTCGAACCTCGTCATTGCCTATGGAGGGGGTCAGACCGTCTCACCCGAATTCCCTCACTTGACTGCTGGCCTTGGTCAGTGACGGTGAAAGCTCACACACAAGTCACATATGAATTGTTCTCCAGGTTCCCTAATGGAAGACCCCGTAGATCTTTCGCTTAGTTCCATTACGGGCTCCATTTCGCCTGAATTCGTGAGGGTTTGAGCCTCTCATGGTGTGGAGTGCGAGTCGTATTGAGGAGGTTGAGGGCGTGGCAAATTAGCGGACCACGCCAAAAACCGGGCTTGGGAACCGAGAATAGCCGGTCCAATGGTCCACCACACAGGTGGGGAACCAGACTCGGTACCCAGGGAAGATGGTTCGGCGACCGAGGCAATTTGCCCATTTGGGGTTCGATCCTCTTTTTGTGATCCCCATTCTTTGTTGTCATCTCGCGATTTAATACCGAGACGTGCGCCACGTTTTGAGAGCGGTTCGAATGCATTGTCGGATTTGAGGTTGGGGTTCGGTACTTATTGGCTGATGAACCACGCCCTGAAATACCATATAATCCATCGGAAACCTTTCGAAAACAAGGGGTAGCTGCGCACAAAATAGAGCTTTCCCCTCCATCCGTTCAACCCTACGCCACGCCCACCGCCAAGGCATTATCATCTTCTTTCCCTCGTCTTCGTTGTCTACTGGTTCGCGAGGAAGCACGCAATGTGTATTCCTGCTCATCTCGCACTCACCTTAGACTGATTTGCTTGGATCCTCGCATTGATCGCACGCCGTACTTTCTGGACCGTCCTGTTTACGACAGAAATGCCACACGTGTTTTCGCGGCGGAGTCACGTATGCAGAACGCTGGTTATGGCGGCTCCAGCAGATCACGAGCTAGGTTTTAGTAAGGATGCCTATAAAGTAGACACCCCGAATTGGCAGTGTCAACAAATCTCAGCAGCTTCTTTTACACTATCACTACCGATCGGCATTCCCCTTGTTTGATCAAAATCTAAACGACAAGTAGCTCAGATTATATAATCTCTTTCACGTTTCACACTTGCCATATCACATCTCATCAAATCCGCTGCTCAATGGCCGTTAACTCCTCGCTGCATGCAGCTCGCCAGCTGCTGCCTCTCGCCCTCCTCGTGCTCGTCGTTGTCACCAGCGTCAGCACAGCACGGCCCATGCTGCAGGCGTCGTCCTCCGCCGCAGCAGCCGGCGTCACTGGCGCTGCCCTCGGCTCCGCATATGAATCTACCTTGGGATCTCCGCACAGGGTGGAGCGGAAGCTGTTCAGCTGGGACGGGGTGACCGCGGATCATGTCATTTCGGGGAGCCTGGGCACGATCGACGGGCCTGAGGACGGGGAAGTCACCCAAAAGCTGGTGGAGGTTTTCATGGGCGCGGGGTACAACGTGGTGGTGATCAAGAGCGAGCATCAGGTGGAAGGCGGGCCGGACTCCGCCAAGGTCGAGGTGTGGCATTTCTGGGATAACTCAGATTTTACGGTGTATTACAAGAAGGGACCCTTCGATGGTGGATACGAGAACTGAGCTTTTGGAGGGAACTGGCTGAGGGTTGGGGCTGACAATGAGGTGGTGATCTTCTATTGATGAAGTCGTTATTGGTGAAAGTGTTCACCACCTGGGCCTTTTGGTTGTGGATTTTTGTGAAATCATCACGAGAAACTTTTTTTTTTTTTTTTTTCCACGCATCCCTTGGTTAACTCGTACTCTCGAGTCTGGAAGGGAGGAGGATGAAAAACTGCTGAACAGGGCTTATGTTAGGTTTTTTAACAGCTCTGGCGCTCAGGGCTCCCTTCGAATTTCACTCTGAAAACTCAGGGTCCGAATCTGAATTGCTCTTTGTTTTCAGGGCTTGCCGAAAAAATGCTCTTAGGGTGCACATTTTCAAGGATTCTTCTTGAGGTTGTTGCATGCTCCGCGGCTCATCGGAGTCATGTGTGTTCTAGGGGTATTTTGGAAGTACTCCTTCCCAAATACAGTAATACCCTGGTAACCGGGTCCTAGGAAGAGTGACGGGTATTAGGGAATGGGAGAAACTCTATTCTAGGGGGCGCACCGGGAGGGGAGGGTGTGGGTAGTGGGAAAAATCAGGGTCGCGAATTACTCTACTCGGATTTTCCATGGTCGCCTTGAGACCTTCCCGGAATTTGTCAGGGCTGGATGAAAACAAACCTGGAGAAAACCAGGGCTGGTACAAAAACTACCTTAGAATTTCAGTCAAGTCAGGGCAAATGCCCTGATAACATATGCCCTGCTGCTGAATTGGTAGAAGTTATCATTCCAGAATGAGTGGACAAGTCGGGCGCATTTACAATTTGTGCTTCCCGGCTTGGTTGCATCTGGTTCGTTCGACGTGGACAGATCAGGATCGGATTCTTGAGCCTCCGGATTATTGCTGCCAAATATGTTCAGAAGCGGAGCCTGTCAAAAATTATGTGAGCCTGTTACATGCCGCGGGAATGGTTACCACCTGTGATTTTGAGAACGACCCCGCTTGGAGTTGAATGAACGGGCTCGGAGTTCATAACAGGATTGATATGACTGAGCCCAGGCAACGACGGCAAGTTTAGGAGGCGGACCAAACTAGTGGCTGAAGGTCATCATGATCGTGGATGATCAAGTTGATCGTGGCGAGAACTCTTACCGTAGCAGTTGAAGCGAAGATTAATGTCCCTTATGGCCGAGCTTCTGAAAAAGCCCACTAGCTGTTGAACTGATCGCGACTTGTGCTAGTGACTGAATGAGAGATGCTTAGCTGCGGAATGAGACGAAAAGTAGCAGCTGCTAAACGAGGAGGCGAGTAACATCTAGACTAGACTCACAGGTGAATGCGGCGACGACCCTTGCTCGGCCCTAACGGTACGGCGCTCACTTTTTGATATAGTATATCTCTCTCGTTTCCCTAGGATAGGATTCACCTGCCATTACTATACGGCTCCTTCAGTGCTCTTTTAACACACGGACGCCCTTTTTAGAGACGTCCCTTTATATCGTTCCTGGTCGCACACCCACCGAGGTATCCATGGCGCGATCCGTCTCGAGGTCGCCACCGCCTAGCGTACGCCGGAAACCACGCTCCCCCTCTCGAACCCCCCCTCGCCGGAAATCCCGCTCGCCCGCTCGAGCTTCGCCCGCTACCCGGAGGTCCCGTTCCGGCTCTCCAACTCCCCCGCGATCGTCGGCGCGGGGGAGCCGGCGGGACGAACGCAGCCCGTCTCCCGCGCGCAGGTGATTAGTTCTGGTCGAGGCGAGTTCCGCGCACAGGTGAGTTCCGCGCGCAGGTGAGTAGTTCTGCTCGCAAGTGCTTTCCCGCTCTATGTCCTCCCGCAGGTGACGTTGCAAGCGCGGGGGGAGACTGTTCCCGCTTGTCACATGTTTCACTGTTCATCTCATAAATGTTTCAGTGTTCACATCTCATAACTCCTCACTATTCATCCAGGTTCTCGTTACTATTCATCCCATAACTCTTTATATAACATCCCATACATCCATCCGTACCTCCCTATGTTCGTCCCATTCCCACCAGGCCAAGCCGCAGCCCCTCTCCGTCGCACTTCTCCCCCTCCACCCCGTTATGAGGCGCCTCAAGAATATATTCTACATCCTATTCATCCCAAACAACCTCCCTATATTCGTCCCATTCCCTCCAGGCCAAGTCACAGTCCCTCTCCGTCGCACTCCTCCCCCTCCTCCACCTCCACCTCCCCCTCTCGTTCCCCTCGCCCGCTGATTCCGCTGATAAAGGAAGAGGGGAAAGACGGCGGGAGGGGAGGGAGAAGAGGGACAAGAGGGATAAGAAGGAGATAAGAGAGAAGAAGGAAGGAGTGAAGGATAAGGAGAAGGAGAAAGATAAAGAGAAAGAGAAGAAGGAGCGGGATAGGAGGAGGGCGGAGCGGGAGGAGGACAAGGCGAGGGAGGAGGAGGAGGAAGCAGAGAGGGAGAGGGTGAGGGAGAGGCAGAAGGCGAGGGAGAGATGGAGGAAACTGGCTGAAGAGGAGGAGGCGAGAAGGTGAGAGGCGAGAAGGTACGAAGGTAAGAAGGCAAGAATACCACAGACAAGGAGAAGGTAGAAAACGAGAGTCTGACAAGGGACAGGACAATTTGGAAAGAGGAGACCCGAGAGGAAACGATTTTGCAGGGTGGGAGCAAGTAATGCAAGGAAAGCACACACGGGGATGCTAATAACGAGACAAAGGACTGCCTAAAACTCTCTCTGTCCTGTGTATTTACTTAGTCTAATTAGCACACTCATATCTGCTCATTCTTAGTCTCGTCTTCCTGCCTCCCAGTTTCAATCCGTGTCCCATTTTCCATTTCGATCCATATCTGTATCCCTGGCTACCCCTTCCCTCCATTGCAGAAAGGAGCAGGAGGAAGAGGAGAGGAGGGAGGAGGAAGAAATGGCAGTGAGTGTGGAAGCAGCAATAAGAGAGAGTTGGCGTGTGAGCGAGTGCAGCAGCAGGTGGCGGCGATGGTGGAAGCTATAAGGGCGACGGTGTAATAGGATTCGAGCCGGCCGAACTCCCCCTTTCTCATGCCCAATCCGAGCCCCCCTCCACTCTTTTTCCCCCCGACAGAAAAGAACAGGAGGAAGCGGAAAGGAGGGAGGAAGAAGAGATGGCAGTGCGAGTGGAAGCAGCAATAAGGGAGAGGGTGGAGTCTGAGTTGGCGTGTGAGCGGGTGCAGCAGCAGGTGGCGGCGATGGTGGCGGCGGGCAGGCAGAAGCTGAGGGAGGAGGTGCAGGCGCAGCTGGAGAGGGAGAAGCAGGCTCTGCTGGCGGAGGCCAGGAGGAAAGAGGTGAGTGAGGGAGTGAGTGAGGGAGTGAGTGAGGGAGTGAGTGAGGGAGTGAACCTTGTGGAGCTGTTCTGGTTGCTTGTGTGCATTGAGATTTTAGGAGGGCAGCGTCGCCGCACATGCTCGTTTTGTTCCCAGGTATGTATCAGTTCTCTAGTCTCAACGCGTGCAACATCGTACTCCAGACGGGCGTTGGAGTATTGCTTTGGAGAATGGCCTCGCAAACTTCAAGATTAAAGAACTTAAGCCACGAAAGCTTTAAGATTAAAGAACTAAACTCTGTCCACCTTAAAGTTTACAGTCTCTGGTTGCGACACCACTCATTGAGGCGCAATGCGTTGACCCTATCGTCCTCACCCTCCGTTCTGTCGAAATGTCTGAAAGTAGTGTCTCTTGTGCACTCTTCCAGTTACCTTCTGCCACATAGCATGTCATTCGAGCTCCGTCTCAATCTCTCTGGACGCACCTAGCAGCGCATCTGGCCAACAAAGCAGAAGTTAAGCCGATGCTTCTTTTGAGTCTGTGTGTTTTCTTTCGAGTCTGCGTGTTTTCTGCAAGAGAAACGGAACGAGGAGTCGAATTGTCGAGTCCTCTGCATTTCAGGAGCAATAGCCAAGGGGCAGGAGGAATTGAGCTGATGAGTCGATTTCCTTTGCGTTCTGTGCAAGGAATGTCACAGGAGCAAAAGCGGAAAGAGCAGGAGGAGTTGGAGCGCATGTTGGAGGAGAATCAGAGGAAGGTGGAGGAGGCTCAGAGACGAGCAGCGGAGGCAAGGGCCAGGGAGGAGGGGCTCAGGCACAAGGAGCGCGAGTCAGTGAATGCTGTCGGCTGGCGTGTATAGCCAGTGTTGGAGAGAGCAGAAGAGTTGGGTCCATTCTGTTTCGCTCTCCCTCTACTGTGTTTTTTCGCACATGAACAAGAGCGGAGGAAGCGGGAGGAGCTGGAGGAGTGCATGTTGGAGGAGAATCAGAGGCAAGTGGAGGAGGCTCAGAGTTGAGCAGCGGAGGAGAGGGCGAGGGGCTGAGACGCCAGGAGCGCAAGTCAGTCAGTGCGGTAGTCTGGCTCTTGTAGTGGCAGCGCGGCAACATTATTTGAAACCGGGCTGGGGAGCTAGTTCACACATGTGGGGAACACAGTGCCTGCGCTTGCAAATTATCTTTGTATTCCCTATAGATGAAGTTAAGCTATTCATATCGTCCCTGATTATTGGTTGGTGGTGTGGTTGGTGGTTGTTGGAAATATCTCAAAGGACTTAAGCGTTTCTGAAGTGTAACACTACACTCGAGGAAGATCGCAACGGGTACGCGAGTCAACGGAGGTTACACGAGGGCGCGAAGGGACTCGAAGGGTCGCAACTGGAGGTTGCGACTGACCGTTACAACAGCGCGGATGGTAACCGAAGCGACAATCGAGTCGCTGTGCGACTCGATAACCGCTCCTGCAACTGTATTCTACAACTGCTTTCTTATTTTCTATATATTGCTGTATGCTTGTTTCTTTAATCAATCACTTGTTCTCATATACTAGTACAAGGGTTCCACTACCTCAACTTCCGCTGCACAACTCAAGCCTTTTATAACTGGGACTTAGTCTCTGGAAAGATCCTAAGGGCTTTTCTCAGCCCAATATGGTATGAGAGCTGGTCAGAGACCAAACTCCCAGCAACTACGTTCTATCTGCAATCAACACATCAACGACTTCATTGATTACAAGTCATGGACAGCAAGGGCAAGAAAACCTCTACGGGCTCACCCAGCGCCCAAGACACTCAACCCGGCAACTCTGGATTGCACACTTCAGGACTGCAAACCGAGACCGGCGCTGCTCAAGAGACAACAGGAAGAGCACCGGAAACGGTGACCCCATCACCCTCTTCAAGCGTGGACCCAAACCTTATGGGAAGGTTCTTCAGCTTCATGTCGCACTTCGACCAGCAGCAGCAGACAAGGACACCTGCGCATTCAACACAGAGCAACGGAGGAAACATGGGATTAGCGCCGATGAGCCTCGACAACTCATCGTTCGGGCGACACAATCAAGCGCCTACCTTTGCGCCTTATCACTCTTCACCGGGGACGTTCGAGTTCATGCCGCCCCGTGCCCAACCAACAGCACCTGCATCACAACAAACACCAAACGAGATTTTAAGTCTCCAGGCGCAGTTTTCACACGTGATTAAACTGCAGACATCCTCACCATTCAACGGACACGATTTCTTTACCTGGAGTTTTGAGTTCGAGCTGCTGATGGAGGCTGCGCACCTCTTGGGATACTTCAACGGGTCCCTACCATTCCCAAGCAACGGCACTGGAAAGGAGCAAGAAATTTTCACGTATCAGTCGCTGCTGGCGTATACAGTTCTCCTGCGGAACCTGTCACCACAAGAACAGCAGAGCATCAGAACGTATCGGAGCTATGGAAACTCCGCGGAACTCGCATGGCATCATCTCAAGTGTCTCTATCAAGCAAACGACAGCGTGACACAAAGCAGACTCATGCAACAGCTGACAATAATACAGATGAAAACCGGGGAAAAGGCGATGCAGTATATGAGTCGATGCCAAACACTCCGCGACCGCCTGCTTTGGTGCGGAGGAACAATCATTGAAGAAAGCTTCGTGACGCTTGTCCTCGCCAGGCTCGGGCCAGAATGGAGAACCACACGCTCGCTTCTTCGCGCCCACGGAAGGATCTCGGAGATGCACCTCTGCGCCGAGCTTGATGCTGAACAACAGGAGATGGACCTGTTCGAAGAAAGACAACCAAGGAAGCAGCAGCAGTTAGTTTTCTACACTCAACGAAGGAACGACAACAACTACAATCGACGCGACAAGCAAGATCAACGCGACAACAGAGGACTCACCATCGTGCCGCCGTTCTGCCACAACTGTCAAACATCTGGACATTCCAGAGTCAACTGCACACGTCCTCGTGTCTATCGTCCAGTAGACCCACAAGTCGCCTCCACTCAAGAAAGCCCTCCAAGACGTTCTTCCACATCTGCACAAGGGACACCGAACATTATCAACTGCATGGTACACATTGACAACTGCGCACCCGGATCACCACCCACTTACGCACCAGACGAAGAAGAATTCCCGCCGCCGCGCTCACAAGGACTTCATGTCAACCCGACATACGCTGCGGTCGCCAACGCCGAACCTACCGGGCGAAACACCTGGTTCTTGGACAGCTGCTGCGGTCAACACATGTGTTCTTCCGGACGCTTCGTGCAACGAGAGCGACGCCTCAACAGCGACGTCATCATCACTGTCGCCAACAACGAGAACCTGAAAACAAACAGACAAGGAGTCGTTCAGTTACAGTCCATGGAAACAAATGTCATCCTGCAACTCAACAAGGTTCTAATCGTCGACAACTTGGGATACAATCTGCTAAGCGTCAGCCAGCTAATGGCAAAAGGAATTCACCTGGAGTGCGACTCGGACTCCAACGAGTTTCGCCTTTACCACGGGAAGGGCGGCCTCTTCATCGGTCGTGCTGTCCTGAAGTCAGGCGTCTTCGTGTTGGACTTCGTCCCCGACCGCGGTACTGCCGACAGTGATGGCATCGTGTCGTTCGCCACCTGGACACACCCGCCGGATCTTGACCCCGACTTCAACCCCGACGGATTCTGGTACTCCAACACCATACCTGCAGCAGAGAGAACACGAGCGTTAGCAGTCATCAGACAAGAAAGACAAGTACCAGCAAGCATCTCTTCCCAGACATCACCTACAGTAACAGCAGCAGGACCCAGCCAAGTACCATCGCCAGCGATCCGTGGACCGCCAACCGAAGCAGATCAACTTATACCCATCACACGCGAAGTCTGCCGAAGTCCCGCCACGGTCGTCGCGTTCTTCACCAACGCCGACATATATCACCGCTCGCCCGGCCATCGCGCTCCCGACGACATCTGGCACCAACGTCTCGGACATCCTGCACCCCTCCAAGCCGAATACTGCAAACCATCCAAGCCGAAGTGTTAGAACGAAACGCTCTCCTTATAACGAGCGGCCAAGAACTTCGACGACCACGCGCACGGTGCTTTACGTGCCCCGAAGCCGACCTTCCCCACTTGCCTTTTCCATCTCGTCATAACCCAAGCGCACCTGCATACGCACCGATGGAAAAAGTCTACAGCGACATTTTTAATATGCCTCGAGAAGACACTGAAGCCGACTTCAACTATGTCATCACGTTTATCGACGCAGCAACAAGATACGTCTAGCACTACAACCTCAAGATGAGCGATCAAGCCTTCGACGCCTTCACAACATGGCTCCCCATCGCCGAACGAGAATCAGGAACCAAGCTCAAAAGCTTCCAGTCAGACGGTGCACTGGAATACCAGTCACAACGCTTCAGGACCTATCTGGCGGAAAGAGGAATCAGACGTCTGGTGTCTCTGCCCTACGCTCACCAGCAGCATGGGGTCGCAGAACGCATGAACCGGACCTTGCAGACGACGATGCGAAAGCTGCTCCTGGAGATGAGACTGCCCAACACACTGTGGCTAGACGCGATGACACATGCAGTCCACCTGCACAATCTGTTGTCCTCGTCATCGCTTCCCAACAACGCATCACCGCACCTGCTGTGGACACAAAAAAGGGGCAGCACAAAATTACTTCGAGTTTTCGGCTGCATGGTACAGTACAGACCCCACAGAGCCGAGTAGGACGCTTCACTCAACGAGCTCGGTGGGGACTACACCTCGGCATCGCCAAACATTTTCACGCATGGAAAATCCTCGACATACAAGACAAAAATACGGTGGCATCACGTGATGTTATCTTCTACGAGCGACTGACGCTGCAGCATTACCTGGACAACATTGCCAACACACACGACCCCACCGACGACTTCGCGGGCCTTCGTTCCTTTGCCGACCATGCTGCCGAGGCTGACGCAGCAGAAGAAGACGTACCTGGAGCCTCGGAAGCTGCCGGATCACTCTCTTTCTGTTCCATACCCGTTCCACTCGATGAAGACAATCCTCTCGATAGCAACAACCTCGACACCTTTTACCACTTCGCTGACCAAGGTTACGTTACACCCCACCCCGTCGACAAGAATGTTTCAGAACGCATCGGCCCAAACTTCTTACCTGATCCAGAAGATGGTGACAAAGCAGCTTATTCCGGGAATGAAAATTCCCCTCGACACACACCCACGGGACTGCAGATCCTCGGCCTATGGGTCTCCGTCCAGCACCCGCCGCCGCCATCTCCGCGCGAGTCCTCGACTCTGTCGCAGGCTCTAGGGGGGGAACATAAGGCGAAATGGAAGGAGGCGATGGAAAAGGAACTAAAAGCTCTTCAAGACCGAAATACATGGAAGTTGGTGCCTACAACGAACATCAACGGGAAGAACTTCCTCTCGGGAAAATGGGTGTACCGCATCAAGACCAACGCGGACGGCTCCATCGAACGATTCAAAGATCGATGGGTCGTACGAGGCTTCGATCAACGATACGGAACTGGCTACACAGAAACCTTTGCCCCAGTCTCCCGTCACACCTCCCTGCGCATCCTACTTGCCGTCGCGGCCACGAAGAAACTACCACTGCGCCAAATCGACGTCGCAAATGCTTTCCTGTACGCACCTGTGGACGCCGAGATCTTCGTCGAGCAGCCCCACGGATTCATCGACGACCCTACAAAAGTATGCCAGCTGATAAAATCCATTTACGGGATCAAGCAAGCCCCGCGGCTCTGGCAGCAGCATCTTCACGGTCGCCTCGTAAAAATCGGATTCCTACAGCTGCCGCATGACCAAGGCATGTACCGACTGCAGAAGGGAAGAGAGTATATCCTACTCATCGTTTAGGTCGACGACCTGCTCTACATCGGTTCCACCACCGACATCGCCACCTGGTTCGAAGGGGAGCTGAAAGGGGACTTGACACTCACAGTGTCCGACTCAGTGACCTAGTACCTAGGACTGAATGTCGTCGAAGACAACTCGGCGTTCTACCTACACGCTGGAAAATACGCAGGCACTGTCGCGAAGAAATTCGGTCTAACGCCGACTACGGTCCCGACTCCCTACCGCTACGGGAACAACAGCAACACCTCAGCAAAACTCCCCGCGAAGCAAATTTAGGAGTATCAGCAGAAGCTCGGCTGCCTACTATTCGCAGCAGTAACCTGCCGACCCGATCTATCTTACAGCGCGAGCCAACTGGCGACGCATCTGAAGCAGCCGGAACAAGAAAATCTCGAGGAACTTAATCGGGCACTACTCTACTTCGTCTCCACGCCGACGACCGGGCTTACCTACAGTAAAGTAACGACATCGTCCGTACAACTTCTCGGATACGTCGACGCCGACCACGCGGGAGACAAGGGAAATCGACGATCGAGAACGGGCTATATCTACCGACTAGAACCTATCGGGACTATCTCCTGGCAGTCGAGCAAGCAGGAATTTATCGCACTATCTTCGGCTGAAGCAGAGTATATCACCCTCTGTACTGCGACCAAGGAAGGACTCTACCTACGAGAGTTGCTCGAGGAAGCGAAGATTGCGACCCTGCCCGTCTTCTCACTCCTCTGCGACAACCAATCTGCGATCAAAATCGCGAACAAGGACGGCTTCGCCAATCGAACCAAGCACATCGCCCTGCGGTACTTCTTCGTCAATGATGAAATCGCGAAGGGGAGACTTCAACTCAGTTACTGCCCGACGACGGAAATGGCCGCAGATTATCTGACGAAGAAATTAGCGAAGGCAAAATTCGATTACTGCACGCTGCTGACCGGGCAGACAAACGTCAACGGATCTGAACACGTCAGCACTCCAGAAACGAAGGGGAGTGTTGGAAATATCTCAAAGGACTTAAGTGTTTCTGAAGTGTAACACTACACTCGAGGAAGATCGCAACAGGTACGCGAGTCAACGGAGGTTACACGAGGGCGCAAAGGGACTCGAAGGGTCGCAACTGGAGGTTGCGACTGACCGTTACAACAGCGCGGATGGTAACCGAAGCGACAATCGAGTCGCTGTGCGACTCGATAACCGCTCCTGCAACTGTATTCTACAACTGCTTTTTTATTTTCTATATATTGCTGTATGCTTGTTTCTTTGATCAATCACTTGTTCTCATATACTAGTACAAGGGTTCAACTACCTCAACTTCCGCTGCACAAATCAAGCCTTTTATAACTGGGACTTAGTCTCTGGAAAGATCCTAAGGGCTTTTCTCAGCCCAATAGTGGTGGTGTGAAAGTGAGGCTAAACTCGGATATGGGACTGAGTGATACCGTAACTAGTAAACTCACCACTGTACAAGAAACACATGCTTATAGTGGGTTCATCTTCAAGGCTCAGCCTGCTCGGCAGCAGAAAGATGTATCCCTGCCATCTGCGAGGTCTTGCGAGCTAACGATCGCCCAGGGCCCTCCAAATCGATCAGGAACCTCACCTCACCCTACATTCCTTTTGTTGGGGAATTTGTAGGGGCTTGATTCCTTTCCAGCCGTTGTAGACCGCCCAGCTCTTATTCGCGTGTTTGCCGCAGAGAACCTCTCGCCGCCATGGTGTGCATACGGCAAGCCACCGTAAGTCGCGCTGCAGCTCTGGGTCTCAAATGCCCTCCGTAGCAGGACCGAGCTTTTCCCTAACTTAGTTGTATGGGCTCGTCTTTCAGTATTTTATCTCTGGTGCCGGGTAAAGCTCTCGCCGCCATTGTTTGTCATTACGGCTCGCCACCGTAAATCACGCTTCAGCCCTGGCTTTCCGCGTAGGTTACCGTTGTTAGTTGATTCATTCGCAGCAATGGCTTTCGTTTAGCCAATCGCAGCATCTCCCCCTGGTGGGAGTGTCCCCCTGCTGACGTCTAGATTGCGACCGTGTGGGAGTGTTCCCATCTGGTTGATCGTTCTTCGGTGAAGATCTAGTCGTCGGGACGAATAGATTAGTTTATCCCGCTTAAATCTTTTTACCCCCCCCCTGCTCTCACCTTCACCGCACCGCACGTGCCTCACCACTCTCATCCGCCTCGCCTTCGGATTTGAAAATACTGCCGTTTTGACATCATTCCTCGCTCGCTGTTCTTCCGCTTCTGCCTGATCCCGTACCCGTTAAAACCCTCACTGCTCGTCTCGCCTACTCCCGTTAAGACCTTCGACATTCCTACTCTATACAAAATAGAAATTTGCAGGTGGACAATTTGCGAGCAGTCCTGACCGTTGGGCCACCCCAAACCCCCAGTATCCGTTTCGCAAGATTCGGCATTCTCATCTTCGTAATCCCACATCGCTTGAAACCCTTGTTAGGCGGACGCTGCAGCGATGCAGAGCTGCCGACGCTCCTGAAACCTCTGTCTCCCTGCTCAGCGTGCGCATCCCCTCCCCCCCCTCTCCCCCCCTTCTCCCCCCCCTCTCCCCCCCTCCCCCTCCTTCTCCCCCTCCGCCCCTCACCCTCCCGCGCCTCACCCCACAGGTGGACGATCTGCTGGCAATGCAGAGCTGCAACCTCATGTGTCTGCCTGAGAACTACCAGATGAAGGTGAGGCGAGGTGAGGTGAGGTGAGGTGAGGTGAGGCGAGGTGAGGCGAGGTGAGGCGAGGTGAGGCGAGGTGAGACGGGGTGAGGCGAGGTTAGGCGAGGTGAGGCGAGGTGAGGCGAGGTGAGGCGAGGTGAGGCGGGTGAGGCGAGGTTAGGCGAGGTGAGGTGAGGCGAGGCGAGGTGAGGCGAGGTGAGGTGAGGCGAGGTGAGGCGGGGTGAGGCGAGGTGAGGCGAGGTGAGGCGAGGTGAGGCGGGGTGAGGCGAGGTGAGGCGAGGTGAGGCGAGGTGAGGCGGGGTAAGGCGAGGTGAGGTGAGGTGAGGCGAGGTGAGGCGACGTGAGGTGAGGTGAGGTGAAGGTGGGAGCAGATGAATATGACCTGATGTGTCTGCCTGAGAACTACCAGATGAAGGTGAGATGAAGGTGGAATGCCGGCTATGTGATGCCTGTACCCTCATTGCTGTTTTCTGTAACCCCCCCCTCCCCCCTCCCCAGTACTACCTGTACCACATTGCCGCAGCTGCTATATGTGGCCAACGATGATCGTCGGCTATGTGCTGCCTGTCCCATACCACATCCTCTCTCCCCTCTCTCTCTCCCGTCTCCCCCTTTCTCCCCCTTCTCCCATTCTCTCCCCCTTCTCCCCGTCCCTCTCCTTTCTCCCCGTCTCTCCCTCCTACTCCCCTCCCCCAGTACAACCTGTACCACATTTTCTCGTGGCCGCAGCTGCTATATGTGGCCGAGGATGATCGTCGTCGTCACCTCTCCCACTCTCCCCCTCCCCCTCTCTCCCCCCTCCACTCTCTCCCCCCCTTCCCCCCTCCCCCAGTACTACCTGTACCACATCCTCTCGTGGCCGCAGCTGCTCTATGTGGCGGAGGATTACAACAAGAAGATTGTCGGCTATGTGCTCGCCAAGATGTGAGTGCAGCGAGGGGGTGTTTGAAGCCAAGATGTGAGTGCAGCGAGGGGGTGTTTGAAGCCAAGATGTGAGAGCAGCGAGGGGGTGTTTGAAGCCAAGATGTGAGAGCAGCGAGGGGGTGTTTGAAGCCAAGATGTGAGTGCAGCGAGGGGGTGTTTGAAGCCAAGATGTGAGTGCCGCGAGGGGGTGTTTGAAGCCAAGATGTGAGTGCAGCGAGGGGGTGTTTAAAGCCAAGATGTGAGTGCAGCGAGGGGGTGTTTGAAGCCAAGATGTGAGTGCAGCGAGGGGGTGTTCGAAGCCAATATGTGAGTGCAGCGAGGGTTTTCCTCAGCAAATTATGGCTATAACAGAGCGTGTATGCTGTTCAAGATGGCAGGCTAGTGAGTGGTATGCTATGGGCAGTTTTTTTGTGCAACCAGGGCTTTGTGCCCAGGGCTTCGTTCCCAGGGCCTCGTGCCCAGGGCTTCGTGCTGGCCCTTTCAAGGCGAGATTGCAATGAATGTTGTGAGGCACACGCACACAACCTTGGGAGGCCATGTTGTGATGTGACTGTAGGGAGATGTGACTGTAATTTTCCAAGGCAATCTGCGTGATAAAGATCACCAACCTCCCTGTTTTCCACACGTGGGGCATCTGTGCTGGCACTGGGCTTGACTGTGACGCCATGACATGACTGGTGTGACTGGGGTGGGGCGTGACTGGGGTGGGGCATGACTGGGGCGGGGCGTGTCTGGGGCGGGGCATGACTGGGGCGGGGCATGGTTGTGGCTGGGCATGAGCATGGCATGGCATGGTATGGCATGGGCATGGCAGGGAGGAGGAGTCAACGGAATGTCGCGGCCACATCACGTCCCTCGCTGTCTCTCGCACGCACCGCAAGCTGGGGCTCGCCACCAAGCTCATGACAGCCGCCCGTGAGTGGAGTAGATATAGAGTCAATATATCGAGTCTCTCGTGAGTGGAGTGGCGGCCGCCTGTGAGTTATGTTATTCTTGTGGTGCCAGTCAACTTATTAATTCGTGTTAAGCGCTCAAGACATGCCACTTACTGGTGCCCCTCGGAGTGTGACACGTGGAGGCGTTTGGTTTGGAACAGGGTATGTGTCAAGCGCTCAAGGCATCTCTTGCTGCCCCTCGGAGTGTGTCACCACATCTCCACTCTCTTGCTGCGCCCCGCAGCCTGTTGCTCCTTTGTTATTGCTGCTGCCCCTGCTGTTCTAACCCCAGAGCGCGCCATGCAGGAGGTGCTTGGCGTGGAGCATGCCATGCGGGAGGTGCTTGGCGTGGAGTACGTGGCAGTGCATCTCCACACCCTCATACCCTTGCGATATGCGCTCCTTGTGTCATTGTCGCCACTGTGCTCCGTGTGTCCTTGTGTCCTTCCGTGTGTCCTTGTGTCCTTCCATGTGTCCTTGTGTCCTTCCGTGTGTCCTTGTGTCCTTCCTTGTGTCCTTTTGTCCTTCCTTGTGTCCTTGTGCGCCATATTGTGTTCCTCAACAGAGCACGCGATGCAGGAGGTCTTCGGAGCCGAGTACGTGTCACTGCATGTGAGGAAGAGCAACAGAGCTGCCTTCCACCTCTACACTGAGACGCTCGGTTACAAGTGAGTTAACACCTGGTTTCAAGTGATCTGATAGCTGGTTATAACTGAGCTACCTTCTGGTTCGTTACAATACAACTGAGGTACCAACTTTTTGACCAAGGGGCTGTTTTTGACTTATGTACCTCCCCTTCCTTACCCCCCTCGTCCCCCCCTCCTGCCCCCCCGTTTCCCTCCGGCCCCCCATCACACTATCCTCCCCTCTTTCAACCATTTCCGCAGGATCAACGAGATTGGGGCGAGGTCTTATTCTGATAGCGAGGACGCTTATCTCAAGCCTGCAGCTGAGAAGCCCCCCACCCTCCCCTCTGCCCCCTCCCCTATTCTCGCAGGATCAACGACATTGAGGCGAAATACTATGCTGATAGCGAGGATGCTTATGACATGCGCAAGAACCTCAAGCCTGCAGCTGAGAAGCCCAAGAAGGAGCTCAAGGGAGGGAAGGGGGCTTCTGACGATAAGGCAGCTGCTAGTAAAGAGGATGCAGCTAAGGAGAAGGCAGAAGCAAGCGCAACTAGCGAGGATGCAGCAAAGGGAAAGAATGGTGCAGAGGCAGCTAGTAGGAAAGACGAGTCGAAGGCGGGGGAGAAAAAGGAGGAGGGTGGTGCTGAAAAGGCGTGTGAAGAGAAGGTGGCAGCTCCTGCCACTCCGGTAAAGGAGAAAGAGAAGGGGGGGTCTCGAGGCGGTGGGAAGGGTGGGTCTGGCCGCCGGCGAAAGGGTGGTAAGGGGTAGTGAAGTGCTGTAGATTGTAGCACGTAATGCGGAACCTCTAGAAGTTTCCAGGGTTTACGAACAGGTGCTTTCCATTGCTGGCCAAGTGTATTAACAGGTGAAAACGAGGCTAAATAATCGTTTACATGGCATGCTGCAAGTGGGAGAATCATTGCAATAGCAGTAGCAAGTAACAATGGCCTCTGGAATCGTGTTGAGTGCACCCTGAATTGGACCCTAAACGCCATGAACACATACCGTACATTCCTATCTCCTATGCTCCCACTGCTCCCACTGCGCCCACCAAACCTACTTTTCCTTGCCCTCTTGCTGCTCTCTGCCCTCCTGCTCCTTCTCCTGCTCCTTGCTCAAAGTTGCCTGCTCCTGGCCCACTTTCTCCCGCAGCAATTTCTCCTCCTCTCCTGCATTCCCCTGCTCCTCTCCCGCATTCCCCTGCTCCTCTCCTGCATTCCCCTGCTCTCCTGCATTCCCCTGCTCCTCTCTCGCATTCCCCTGCTCCTCTCCTGCATTCCCCTGCTCCTCTCCTGCATTCCCCTGCTCCTCTCCTGCATTCCCCTGCTCCTCTCCCGCATTCCCCTGCTCCTCTCCCGCATTTCCCTGCTCCTCTCCCGATTTCTCCTGCTGCTCTTTCGCTCTCTCCTGCTCCTCTCTCGCTTTCCTGGAGTTGCGGTACTCAAACACAGCCACGTTGCGAATGTGGCAGTCGTCCTTGATGCACAGGTACCGCCCCCACGCGCTGTTGGAGATTGTCGGGAAGAAGGGCGCGAAAAACCGGTGCACCACGTAGAACCAGGTGGATGCTGACAGGATGCCGAGGGAAAAGCCTGCAAGGACCTGAGGGAGGGGAGTGGGAGAGGGGAGACAGGCAATGTGGGTGTGGATGTATGAATGTGGCAGGCAGTCGTCCTCGATGCACAGGTACCGCCCCCACGCGCTGCTGGAGATGGCTGGGAAGAAGGGCGCGAACTCGCGGTGCACCACATAGAACCAGGCCGAGGCGGAAAGGATTCCAAGGGAAAAGCCTGCAAGGACCTGCGGATAGTGGCAGGGGTGTGTGAGATGGGCGGATAGTGGAGAGTTAGGCTGGCGCATGAAGGCAGGGGAAGAAGGGCGCAATGAGGCGGAGCAGTGCGCCACACAGAAGCAGATGGAAGGGCTGAGAGCATCCCGAGGGAACTTCCCACAAGGACCTGAGGGATAGGGATGGGCGGATAGTGGAGAGTGAGGCAGGGGGATGACGGCAGGGGAGGAAGGGCGCACAGACAGACGCGGTGCACCACATAGAAGCAGATGGATGGAGGCTGAGAGAATCCCGAGGGAACCCCCCTCAAGGACCTGGGATGGGTGCGTGAGGGCGTTCGAATGGATGAAATGAAATGAAAGAAGCCACTGAATACCAGGAGGGTTGGGAAACCCCAAAGGTGAATGAAAGCGGGGAGGCTTGGAGAGGACGGAGGGAGGGGCTGGCGTGCTGGAAGTCCAGGGATGGGAAGAATGTGCATGGCTACCTCGTGCAGATGTGCATGGCTAATCGTAGCCTGGCCATGCACAACGGACAACAGGTGGACTGTGTCTCATAGTAGTAGCCTGCCCAAAACTCCACTGCCAGTCCACTTCCATGGTATCACCCATCCGAACCGCTTTGTATCCATTTACATATGGGTGTGCTCTCACAGTAACATCTCCATATGGTAACCCTGTACCACGATAGGCGCCTAAGCTAGGCTAACATTTCATGTGCTTCCTAAAAGCGCTTAGTGAGAGAAGTGAACGGCCAAGAGGCAGCCGTTCAGATTTCATGCTAGCTTAGCTTTTACTGTACCCGTTATAGCCTCACCTGCGGAATTGTATGGTAACCGAGGTACACCCGAGACGCCATAGTGAGAAAAGTGAATGGCCAGGGCAGCAGAGCCGTGACCCATCGCCATCGCTCGTCTTCGTAGTCGATCTTGTAACACACGAGCCACGTCGCGAACGTCGCGAAGAACGCCATGAATTGCGAATGCGCGGACGGCATCCCGTGCGAGTCGCACACCTCGAGCGCCGCGCACGTGTGCGGCGGACGTGGCATCTCGAGCGCGTGCTTGATGACGTGGTTGAACGTGTCGTCCAATAGCAGCCCGAGCATGAAGAACATGGTCCGCAAATCGCGGCGGAAGACCACGTGGGTGGGGAAGCAGCCGAAGGCGATGAAGACGGGGACGAGCGACGCCCATGCCATGACTACGCCGAGCGGGTCATCGTGATAGTAACGAACGTGAGTAAGATCCACCGCTCGAAGCTGCATCTTGGTAGGACTAATTTTTTCCTAGTTTTTTTAGAGCCTGTGGTCTAATGCGCTAGCTGGAATGTTTCTGAGGGATACTTGACCTTAATCAAATCTCGTTGTTGGAAACATGTGTCTAATGCGGTTGAATGAATGTCGCATTCGAGTCCCGCTACGAAGAGAATGTGAAGCAAGAGCCAGCTTCTTAGTACTAATGAGAGGATAGAGCCGATTGCGGCAAAGAGATCGATTTCACTAGCCTCTCTGCTGTTCCTAATGCATACCTCTCCTCTCCAGCCTTGGGAATGCCGTGATGACGGGACTACTCCAGATGAAGTTTTATGACCAATTTACGAGTTGGCTTGCCGTCCTTAGGTGCGGAAGCCGTAGCTACCCTGCGACAATCCCAGGGATCAATTCCCGGTAACCGTGCCGAGATCGTGAGGTGGCCTCGTTCTGTTACAGTCTGTCCGCAAGCCCGGTCGACGAACATAACGTGATGCTTGCGAAAAAATCGTTGAAATTACATAACATCCATCGCAAATGCATTTTGACCCCTGTCTCCAATTCGGTTGCGAACCTGCACTGTTCATAACTATAGCGGAGTTTTACGTGTGATCAGGCCCTGTGCTTTTAGGTTTATGGATAAGGTATTTCGCAGTTTCGCACACTATATACCCTTTCGCTCTCGCATCTCGTTTGTGCGCAACGTATGTTTCCATCTTTCGCGAGTATCCGCTCTCTACTTAGCGACTCGGCGCGCTTAGATTACAGAGCAACCAGTTCCGGACCTGTCTGCTCCACAAATCGTCTCTCTTTGATTAGTTTGTGATATTTAGCTTCTGCCTACTCGTAAATTAGGGAAAGACGAAATGCCGGAAAAGCGCGACGGCGATGGCCCCGAGGGCCAGGAGGTAGTGCCTGCGAAGCGGCAACGGACGGATCTGGTGGCGGTGCCATCTGGAGGCGATGGGGACAAGGGGAAGCAATTAGCTGTCACTAAAGACGTAAGCCACTGCTGGATATATTCACCTGACTTGCCCCCCTATTGCGATGGGTTTTCAGAGTTAGTAGCCAGACTCGCCAATCAGACTCACTGATGGGTTTTCAGAATGTATAGAAACCCTGACTTAGGGCGTGTTTCACGCCAATCATTTGGCCCGAATCGGACCTTCAGAGGATCGATTTTACGATGTGCGACATGGTACAGCGCGGTTCGGCGTGGTAATCCGTGGTAGTCAGCGTGGGCCGGCAAATGATCTCGATTCGATGGATTGAGACACGTCCTTTGTTCAGCATGTGTGCATCCATTCACCATGCATCCCACCATGTCCCTCGCATGTGTGTGTGCATGCATCCATTCACCATGCATCCCACCATGTCCCGCGCATCGCATGTGTGCATGTGCGTCCTTTCACCCCACAGGGAGTCAAGCGGACGTCGTCTCTTCTCGCCCCAATCATGCTCCTGACCGGCCATGCTGTAAGCTTCCGTTTTTTATTCCCCGCACTGCATGGTTCTATCACGGATCACGTTGTGAGCACCACATGCTTTTGTAACGGATCACGGCACAAGCTTCCACTTGTGGTATGCCCCACGCTTCAAATTCTCTCTATAGCGCGGTTTACTATAATCACTGAAACCCGTCACGAGTGTAGTGTTGTTGTTACTGCATTCATTACAGTGGTGCACCATGTCACCACCATGCCACCACCATGCCACCACCATGCCACCACCATGTCACCACCATGCCACCACCATGTCACCACCATGTCACCACCATGTCACCACCATGCCACCACCATGTCACCACCATGTCACCACCATGTCACCACCATGTCACCACCATGTCACCACCATGCCACCACCATGTCACCACCATGTCACCACCATGTCACCGCCATGCCACCACCATGTCACCACCATGTCACCACCATGTCACCGCCATGTCACCACCATGTCACCACCACCATGTCACCACCATGTCACCACCATGCCACCACCCCCCACGTCTCCCACCGCTTCTTGTGTGCCATCAGAGGGGAGTGAGTGTTCACAGGGAAGCTCAGCCCGGATAAGGAGACCATGCCAAATCCCACCATTCCCCAATGCCCCCATACCCCCATGCCCCCATGCCCCCATACCCCCATGCCCCCATCCCCCCATGCCTGTCGTCCCCCATGGATCTTTCATCAGCCCGGTGTGTTCACCATGAAGTTCCGCCCGGATGGGGAGGCCATTCAAATCCCGCCATTCCACATGCCCCCGTGCCTACCATCCCTCAATGCCTCCCTCCCACCCTTGTCTCCCACCAGGCGGGCGTGTTCACAATGAAGTTCAGCCCGGATGGGGAGGCCATAGCAAACCCCATCCTACCATTCCACATGCGCCCATGCCTGCCATCCCTTAGCGCCTTTCCATTGCCTTGTCTCCCACCAGGCGGGGGTGTTCACAATGAAGTTCAGCCCGGATGGGGAGGCCATAGCAAACCCCATCCTACCATTCCACATGCGCCCATGCCTGCCATCCCTTAGCGCCTTTCCATTGCCTTGTCTCCCACCAGGCGGGGGTGTTCACAATGAAGTTCAGCCCGGATGGGGAGGTCATAGCGTCGGGATCACCCTACCATTCCACATGCGCCCATGCCTGCCATCCCTTAGCGCCTTTCCATTGCCTTGTCTCCCACCAGGCGGGGGTGTTCACAATGAAGTTCAGCCCGGATGGGGAGGTCATAGCGTCGGGATCACAAGACAAGGAAATCTGTGAGTGCACCGCTTACTGAATCCGCTGGCTGCAAAATAAGGGGAATTTATTGTTTTACACCTCATGATACCAGAATTGCTCTGAAATGGCCGTTTCTCACCCGTCCCCTCCTTCCCACGTCTCTCCCTGTCCTCCTCCTTTCGCCTCTCGCTCTCTGCATTTGTTTTGCCCCTTTGCTTCCTTCCCTTCCTTCGCTCTCTCTTTCTCTTCTCTCCCCTCCAGTCCTGTGGCCCATGGAGGTTGAGTGCGACAAGTATGTGTTGTGAGGTGAGGGACCATTGAGGGACACACCATCTTCCCACCCATTCCCTCCCACAACTCTCCCCTCTCCTTTGCCCCCGCCCCCTTTTTCCCGTTCAGCCATCCGGCGCATTTTGAGTCGACCCAAAATACGTCCTGTGGCGCATGGAAGTTGAGTCCAACATGTGGTGTTGAGGGGCTATCAAGCAACACACCATATTCCCAGCCATTCTCTCGCCTGACTCTCCTCGTTCCCCACCCCTTTCCCTTTTTTTAGTCCTCTGGCGCATGGAGGGCGAGTGCGGCAACTACAGTGCTGAAGGGCCTTTTGACAGGACGCACACATTCTTCCTCTCGCTCCCCTTCTCTGCCACCCTCACCCCCGCCACCACCGTCCCTTAGTCCCGTGCGTGACGCATGGAGGCCGAGTGCAACAACTCCATGGTGCTCAAGGGCCACATGAACGTGATTCTTGAGCTGCACTGGACTTCACTCAAGGAGAACGCACCCCTGCATCCGATCAACTTTCTCTCTCCCCTCCCCACTCCCAACCCCTCCCCCTCCACCTCCCCCACCCCCACCCCCAACCCCAACCCCCCCTCGCTCTCTCAGTCCTGTGGCGCATAGAGGGCGAGTGCGACAACTACATGGTGCTCAAGGGCCACAAGAACGTCGTTCTCGAGCTGCACTGGGCAGCAGACGGCCACAGCATTGTTTCTGCAAGTCCTGACCAGACTGTTAGGGCGTGGGATGTGGAGACAGGCAAGCAGGTGAGCAGAGGGGCACGTTGCACACAGTTGGTTGGCGGTGCTCTGGGACAGAGCTGCACTGGACCACAGACGGCCGCAGCATTGTTTCGGCCCATCCTGGCCAGACTGTTAGGGCGTGGGACGTGGAGACAGGCAAGCAGGTGAGAAGAGGGGCATGCTGCACACAGTTGGCGGTGCTCCGTGACAGAGCCGCACTGGCCACAGGCAGCCACAGCATTGTTTCGGCCCGCCCTGACCAGACTGTGCAGGCATGGGACGTGGAGACAGGCAAGCTGGTGAGCAGAGGGGCATGTTGCACACAGTTGGCGGTGTGTGTGCATTGTGCAACAGCTGCTGCACTGGGGAATGAACGTGCACTGGGCAGCAGACGGACATAGCGTGGTTTTTTTCAGCCCTGATAAGACAGTTTGCTCAAGGGATGTGGAGACTTGCAATGCAAGAAAGTGGCAAGAGGGTTTATGTTACTTGCACAGTTGATGGGGCCGGGGATGTGGAGTGGAGCTGGGCTACAGGCAAGCAGGTGAGGGCGCGTGCACGGGATGTGAGACAGGCAACAGGCAAGGTGATTTTTTAGCCGACTCGGCAGGCACGGGGCGTCGAGACAGACAACAGGCAGGGTGACTTTTGAGGTGACTTTTGAGTCGACCCAACAGGCAGGGGATGTGGAGACAGGCAACAGGCAAGCAGGACAGGCACGGGTGGGACTGTAGAGGTTCTTTCGAAGATGACAGTGCATTTGTCCCCGGCTTTATTCCCGCTCCTCTCCTTCCCCCCCCCCCCCTTCACAAATAAATTATAAAAAAAAAAAAAAAAAAAAAAAAAAAAAAAAAAAAAAACACTGAGCATTCGTCCTTCGTCAACAGCTGCTGCCCGGCTCCCAGAGGCCCCCCATCGGCAGTCAGCAGCTCACTCAGACGACGGTACCGCCAGGCCGTGGGAATTGCTTATTTCTCCCCCCCCCCCCCTGCGCTCCCCCCCCCGTCCCCTCCCGTGCAACAGATAAAGAAGATGGCGGAGCATTCGTCCTTCGTCAACAGCTGCTGCCCGGCCCCCAGAGGGCCCCCACTGATAGTCAGTGGATCCGACGACGGCACGGCCAAGCTGTGGGACATGCGGGTTCGAGGCTGCATCCAGACGTTTCCCGACAAGTACCAGGTGGGTGTCTCTGTGTGCGTTTGGGGTGAGGGCCCCCTCTGATTGTCAGTGCCTCTGACGACGGAACGGCCAAGCTGTGGGGCATGCGGGTTCGAGGCTGCATCCAGACGTTTCCCGACAAGTACCAGGTTCGTTCAGCTCAGCGACATTCTGAAGACCCTGTATACTCGTATCACTGCCATCAATCCGTGGCTCTTACGACGGCCCGGCCAAGCTATGGGACATGCGGTGCGAGTCTTGTGGATGCGTCCAGACGTTTTCCAACAAGTACCGCATGTTTTCCAACAAGTACCGCATGTTTTCCAACAAGTACGGCATGTTTCCCAACAAGTACGGCATGTTTCCCAACAAGTGCCTGCCAGGTTCTCACGGTTCCTTCCCAGGCATTCGTGCCAGCAAGGCTGTGATTGGTTTTTGAAAATTCTATATGCCCCAAAATTCCAACAAGTACCGGTTTCTCACAGTTCCTCTCCATGCATTCATGTCAGCGTCGAGAGCTAGTGGCTCATATGATGCGACGGCCCTGCCAAGCTATGGTAGCTGCAGGTGCTGCAGGTGCTGCAGGTGCTGCAGGTTCAGCAGGGAATTCGTACATTGACATGCGCGTGACATCAGGTGTCTGCCAAGCTATGGTACATTGATATCAGGTGTCTGTCTATGTGCATGCGCATGGTGGATAGAGATAGTGGGGGATGTCAGGTCCAATCCAAATGTTTCCCGATCGCCCCGTCCCACGATCCCACAGGTCACATCGGTGGCGTTCTCTTATAACGGGGATAAAGTGTACTCGGGCGGAATCGACAACCAAGTCAAAGTATGGGACCTCAGGCGATCAGGCGGCACCTCGGCAGCAGCATCAGGAGGAGGAGCATCAGGAGGCGATGAGGATGCAGCAGAGGGGAGTGCAGGGGGGGGTGGGGGTAGCAAGGGAGCGGAGCCGGTGATGCGGCTGCTGGGGCACACGGACACGATAACGGGGATGAGGGTCAGTCCGGACGGCGCGTATCTGCTCACCAACGCCATGGACTGCACGCTGCGCATCTGGGACCTCAGGCCCTACGCCCCTCAGGTGCGAATTTTAGCCCTTTGCCGCTCTGGTGTGTGCTCCCTAGGCTATCTCCAGGTGCGTGTTTTTTGTTCCTTCCCCTCCTCATGTGTGCGTCGCATGCAATCCCACGTCCTCAGAACCGTGATGGTAAAATCACGTCAGGTCCTCGCTTCAGGACCCCTCGTCATGTGTTTCTTGTTCCTTCCCACGTGTGTGTCCCACGTGTCATGTGTGTGCGTCGCACGCAATCCCACGTCCTCAGAACCGGTGTGTGAAGATCTCTGCGGACCGCGGACCACCAGCACAGCGTGGAAAGAAACCAACCAACTAGCGATCCAACCTCCTTGCGTGCGATTGCTTCTGAGGCAGTCTAGAACACTCTCGCTCCCCCCCCCCATCTTCACCATGTCCCCCCTTGCCCTCCTCAGAACCGGTGTGTGAAGATATTCACGGGTCACCAGCACAGCGTGGAGAAGAACCTGCTCAAGTGTGATTGGTCGCCTGACGGCTCTCGGGTGACAGCTGGCAGCGCGGACCGCATGGTGTATGTGTGGGACACCACGATGCGGCGGATCCTGTACAAGGTATGGGGGTAAACCATACAGGGTACAGAGTTATGTTCCAAGGAATGCTGTGGCCTTTGGTGCATACTAATGGTTGCCCGCGTGGTGCATGTGTGGGATATGTGTGCCACATCACCATGTGCTGTGCCGAGGTGACTTTTGCTGTGCTGAGTCGACTCAAAAGTCACGACATCACCATGTGCTGTGCCCGATCCTTTACAAGGTACAGAACTCATAGTGTGGAAATACTGTAGCAGGAAAAGGTACGGTAGGGGCACACTGCACAAGGCACATGGTATCAAGGCTCTGGAGTGTGTGATGGCCTGGGGATGTTGATTGATTATGTGTGTGTGGGTGCACTGTGCACATGCGGGTGCAAATGCAGATGCATGCATGCATGTGTAGATGGATGGAATGGATACAGGGTGGGGGATTGCTTGTGTTTAGGTTATGTCTGTTCTCCGTGCAAGATGTACCATCTGTTTGTAATACATCACTGCTCCTCTTCTATCATTCCTGCAGCTCACTAGCCCGATCTCGTCCTGTCCTTTGTATGGCCCTGTGCATTGCATCGCCCTCTCTGTCGCCCTGTGCATTGCATCGCCCTCTCTATCGCCCTGTGCATTGCATCGCCCTCTCTGTCGCCCTGTGCATTGCATCGCCCTCTCTGTCGCCCTGTGCATTGCATCGCCCTCTCTGTCGCCCTGTGCATTGCATCGCCCTCTCTGTCGCCCTGTGCATTGCATCGCCCTCTCTGTCGCCCTGTGCATTGCATCGCCCTCTCTGTCGCCCTGTGCATTGCATCGCCCTCTCTGTCGCCCTGTGCATTGCATCGCCCTCTCTGTCGCCCTGTGCATTGCATCGCCCTCTCTGTCGCCCTGTGCATTGCATCGCCCTCTCTGTCGCCCTGTGCATTGCATCGCCCTCTCTGTCGCCCTGTGCATTGCATCGCCCTCTCTGTCGCCCTGTGCATTGCATCGCCCTCTCTGTCGCCCTGTGCATTGCATCGCCCTCTCTGTCGCCCTGTGCATTGCATCGCCCTCTCTGTCGCCCTGTGCATTGCATCGCCCTCTCTGTCGCCCTGTGCATTGCATCGCCCTCTCTGTCGCCCTGTGCATTGCATCGCCCTCTCTGTCGCCCTGTGCATTGCATCGCCCTCTCTGTCGCCCTGTGCATTGCATCGCCCTCTCTGTCGCCCTGTGCATTGCATCGCCCTCTCTGTCGCCCTGTGCATTGCATCGCCCTCTGTAACGCCCTCTGCATTGCCTACTGTGCTGCCCTGTGTCTCGCAGCTGCCTGGCCACAAGGGGTCAGTGAACGAGGCAGTGTGCCACCCGTGTCAGCCCATCATTGATTCCCCTCGCTACCATTCTCTATTCCTGTGCACTCCCCTCTGCTCTCTGTGCCTCTTGTCTTGCCTCTCTGCTGCCCTGTGTCTCGCAGCTGCCTGGCCACAAGGGGTCAGTGAACGAGGCAGTGTTTCACCCGTCTCAGCCCATCATTGGCTCCTGCTCTAGTGACAAGCAGATCTATTTGGGCGAGTTGGACCCCTCCCTCAAATGAAGCCTACAGCTGAATAGATGCTGACTGACAGCAGTGGGCTAAACCCAGGAGGAATTGCAATGGAATTTTGACGAAGGTGATTCAGTCTCCAAGATGCATACCTTCAAGATACCGTACAAGAAAATGTGTTGTGATTTTGCATAAAATCAACAGAGCACTAGCTCTTCCACGGCCTATCCTTCTTAAAGGCTAAACTTCATGATTGATCTTTAAGTTGCACCCATAAGGAAACGACATTTCTGTATGCTTGCTGGGTATCGCTTCGCAAAACATAGTCAGAAAGTCACCAGTCCTAACCACTGGGACAAGAAGAGATGTCCGCAGGAGAGTTACCTTATACACCTGGATATAGGCGCAACCATTTATTAAGCCCGTGGGCTTATGCAGTGCGATCGGGCTTATATCCGTTACTTTCATTATAAGCCCATTTTGGGGGGGGGGGGGGGGGGGGGGGGGGGGGGGGATGTGTTTATTATAGCCGCATTGCCGCGCTTCTACAAAAAAAACCGTTTTATAAGCGCATTTGCCAGGCTTGGCCAATTTCTATTAATTAGGAATTAGAAGTCACATAATAATCATACTATCTACTCTAGCCCTTCTCGAGGGCAAATATTCCACAAATCTAGCTTGCAATTTCTACCATCCACTTAACAGAAAGAATGAATGACTAGAGTGGTGAGATACAAGGCAATATAGTCTAGAGTGTTGTACCAACTAAGGCACAAACATATATAGTCTACAGTAACTGCATAAGCTATGCTTGACACACCCCCTAGACTATATAGGGGTAGTGCCTAACAAGGGAAGAAGCAGCTCAGGGAGGCACTACTAGTCCAGCCACTGGGAGAGGCCACAAGGCCAGTCAGGATATAAATATATATATATATATATATATTAAGGACAGTACAAGGTCAAGACCCTAGCAAGTGAGAGGCTACAGGAACGAGACCTAGCTGTACACAGTGCCGCTGATGATCTTTAGGCGCAAGCGCCTTCGTAAAGATATCAGTTGTGTTGGCATTGGAGGCCAAGTGTACTACGCTCGCCTGGCGACGCTGCTGGAGCTCACGCAAGAGGAAGTACCGCAGCTGGATGTGCTTTGCTCTGCCCTCGAGTCGAGGCAACTGACACAGGAGGATCATGGCCCTGTTGTCAGCGAACAGGACCGGGGCAGAGCTAGGCCGCTCACCTAAGTCAGTGAGCAAGAAGGTTAGCCAGCGGAGCTCCTGTGCCGCCATGGCACCAGCGTAGATCTCAGCCTCACAGCTGGACTGAGCAACAGACAAGGAGCGGATAGCTCTCCACGAGACGGCACCTGAACCAAGGCTAAAGCAGTAGCCCTGCGAGGACCTGAGGGTCTCGGTGTCGTCTGCCCAAGAAGCGTCTGTGTGTCCAGTAAGGACCATTGGCCTGCGTCCTCCTAGCACTAACCCCATGCCCGATGTACTAGCAAGATAACGCAAAACCCTCTTAGCGGCAGACCAGTGCTGAGGTCAGTGTCTGCCTGTAGCCACAAAGCGAGCCAGGATGCTGAGAGGGTATGCGAGATCTGGGCGAGTGCAAGTCATCAGGTACATGAGGCAACCCACCAGCTCTGCGTAAGGACCACTCGGCTCTGCAGACTCCTCAGGAACTGGAGCGGAGAGCCTATGGTCTAGGGGCAGAGGAGTGGGCTGTGCGGAGGAGAACTGAAGGCCGAACCTCTGAAGGACCTGGCGCACCAAGTGTGACTGAGTCAAGGTGATGGTGCGCGCTGCTCTGTCCCTGGAGATCTGCAAGCCAAGGTAGTGGCGCAGTTCTCCAAGGTCAGTGCAGGTGTGTCTCTTCAACAGCTCTGCCTTCACGGAGGCCAGTGCGTCCCTGTCTGCTGTGGCGAAGACGAGGTCGTCTACGTAAACAAGGATGTAGAACGGGGTCTGGCCAGCACGAACGAAGAGTGAGGGGTCTGCAGAGGACGGAAAGAACTACAGGTCAGCAAGCGTAGCACGCAGCGTGTCGTGCCACTGACGGGGAGCCTGCCGCAGGCCGTAGACGGGGCGCCGCAGGAGCCACTGGGTCCCAGGAGAGAAGGTGCCAGTGAAGCCCTGAGGGCGGCGCAGGTAGACCTGCTCGTGTAGACTGCCCTGAAGAAAAGCAGTGGAGAAGTCAAGGGAGTGAAGCTCGTAGTCATACTGAACTACTACGTGTAGCAGCACCCGAAGAATAGTCATCTTCGGGGTCGGAGCGAAGGTCTGGAAGAAGTCCACCCCCTTACGCTGACTGAAACCTCTAGCCACGTAGCACGCCTTGAACACAGGCGGCTCTCCAGGAGGGTGCTTCACCTTGAAGAGCCAGCGGCCATCGACTACATTCACCCCAGGTGGAGGAACTGCGTCGACGTAGGTGCCGGTGGATCTCCAAGATGCCATCTCCTGCTCCATGGCAGCTATCCACTGAGAGGCCCAGGGTCCCGAGACCGCCTCAGCGTAAGTGCGAGGAGTCGGGATGTCGAAAGCGTCGGGGTCACCCTCAGGGACTAGAAGCATAGAGCAGAGATGGGGAGCAGCCTCGGACAGGAAAGCAAGCTCCTACTGGCGGTCCTCCATGACGTCACTGCCGAGGGCAAGAGCACCCCCGACAGACGGAGGACAGGCAGAGTCAGAGACCAGAGAGGTGGCGTAGTCAAGGCGGCGGGTAGAGGCGAAGTCAACGAACGCCCAGCGACAAGGGCGTCAAGACTCGAAACTGGAACAGACGGGTCAGTAACGAGGGAGGCAAGGACCCGAGGAACAAGAGGACGAGCGGCACGCAGGTAGTTAGATAGAGGGGGGGGAGCAACAACAAGGGAGGACGGAGGGGGTGACGGGAGAAGAGGAGGACGAGACGCGTGCGAACGAAGCAACTTAGGGTGAGAGCGCAAGACAGGGGAGACATGTCGAGCACAGGAGGGGCGGCGAGACCAGACATGAGATGGAGGAGTCGGGTCAGGAGACAGAGGAGGGGACACAAGAGGGGAACGAGGGGGAAACGGGCCGGAGACGAGTCCGGAGGAGGGAACACAGTGCCGTAAATAGGAGGAGGAGGAGACACGGGCACGGGGTCAGGAGACGGAAGGCCGAGCAGACGAAGAGCGGACACCGGCGGGGACTGCTGCAGCGGCGCTGTGACATCGACACCGGGACCGCAAGGGGCATGGCGGCTACCTCCAGAACACTCCACGCCAGCACCCCCAGAAGGAACACCCCCCGTGCTCAGAACCCCTCGAGCAGCGGTACCACCCCCAGGCCCGCCGGGACAATCGACGTAAGGGGGGTGACGTGAGACACACCAGAGGGGGCAGGACGGGGAGGGGGAGGAGGAGGGGCGCCGACGACCGGGGAAGGGGGGACCAGGAACAGGGGGGGGGTAACCGGGGGACCGCGGTGGGGGAAGCGGCGGAAGAAGGAGACGGACTCGTCAAAGGTGACGTCGCGGGAGTGAAAGAACTGGTGAGACTGCGGGTGGTAGAAGTGCCAGTCAGACGCGTCAAGGGGGAAGCCAAGGAAGACACAGGGAAGGGTGCGGGCAGTGAGCTTGCCCGTGCCAGAGGCACGAACGTGAGCAAGGCAGCCCCAAACGTGGAACACAGGCACGTCACCATGTGACCCAGACCAAAGAAGGGTCGGCGGAACCTGAGGCTGCTGGGGGTGCAGCCACAGGTTAAGCTGGTGAGCGGCGTAGCGAACGGCGAACGGCCACAGAAAATGGGGTGCACCGGCATGGATCATGGAGGTGCGAGCCACCTCCATGACCAAACCGATGCGTCGCTCAGCGACCCCATTCTGCTGTGGGGAGTCCGGCAGGGTGAGCGTCTGGGTGATGCCCTCTGCATGACACCAGAGGCAAACTCGCCACCACGGTCAGAGTGGAGGCGCAAGACAGGGAGACCGTGGTGGACACGCGCAGCGACAAGCCACGGGATAAGAACGTCAAGCACGTCGGCCTTCCACTATAGGGGGAACACGGTGGTGTGGCACATGTAGTCGTCGACAAGCACTAGGAAGTAGCACTCTCGACGCGGCCCATGGAAAGGGGCGGGGCCCCAGACGTCCATGTGCAGAGTCTGTAGCGGTGCTGCGGTAGGGGGAAACGAGGAGGAGTGAGGGGCACGGCGGAGCCGGCCCTCGACGCAGGGCGTGCAAGGTGGGGCTGGGGAGGAGGGAAACTCGGGGAACGACCCGGGGAGGCCTAGGACGAGACCGTGCTGTGACATGTGACCCAGGGTGACCTAGGCGGTGGTGCCAGAGAAGGGTCGGGTGGGTGAGAGACCGACAGGAGCAGGCAGCAGCAACCTGAAAAGACGCAGCCACCTGAGGGGGGGTCCCAGCCGAGGGGGTCACCGTGTCCAGTGTGAAAAGACCGGACACCGGGTCATGTGGGAACGTGGACAGGGGGGCACCAGTGGTGGCCTCGGTACAGACAGCGTACCGCTCGTGTCCAGGGAACGTAGTGGTGACTCCAAGGTCCTGAAGGCAGCCAACACCAACTAGGTTCCTAGAGAATGAGGGGATGTGCACACCTGTGAGCGACTACAGGGCCGGAGGAGGGGTCAGCAAGAGAGACTGCGGCAGGGACAGGGAGCGGTGTCAACGTGGTAGAGTCTCGGAAGAAGCACCAGGAAGCGCCAGAGTCGAGGGTGAAGGCGAGCGCGGCAGTGGCGGCCGGAGGCGAAGCAGCGACGGATGCACCAAGGCTAAACAAAGCAGGGGATCCTACGCCTGACGCAGCAGGGGAGTCTAAGCAAGGCACGCCTACACTAGGCAACAAGGGGTAATACGACGGAAGCACACTAGAGTCATCAGCATACATCACATGCAGAGCAGTAACAATGTCATCCATAGCCAGATCAAAAATCTGAACCCTACGAGGAAGCAAGTTGTGCCAGTCTGAGAGCTCGGGCGACGGGCCGAAGCGCTGACAAAACAGGTCGTCTAGGAGACGGAAAGAGCGGTCAGAGGTGTGGTCGATCTTACCGCAAACGAAGTCACGGTGAGGACCGGTCTGGAGCAGGTACTGACAGCGCGCGGGACCTGAACCACCATCCTGCAGCCCACCACATGCACCACCACCATGCCCAGCACTACCACCAGCGCCAGGCCACCCGGGCAGGAGACCACTCTCCCGTCTCGGTTGCTGCTGCGACCGCTGCGGCTGCTGTGGCTGACGCGGGTCCGGCGGCAACACCGGCGGCTGTTGAGACGGTTGCTCGGCTGCACC